TTCCCTTTTCTTTAAATAGCTGCATTTTGGAACTTTTGGGGGGAAGGGGGAGGGCGCCCCCCGTCTGGATCCGCGGCTGCATTTTCAATTTGTTGTTTACGATTTTTGTAAGACTCACATATCAGTTCTCTAAATTGCCAAGATTAAGTTCTATATTTTCGTCTAAGTTGTTATCTTGAATTGAGCCATACAACAATGCACATGCAGGAACCTACCCTCCCCCCTCTCCTTTCTAGATATTTTATTAGTAACTTTTTCTAGCAAACTAAGGTAAAATATACAACTACACTTGCTGCGGTCTGTTCCATGTTTTCCCCTTGTTATTCCGAAAATTCATAACCCCGTCGAAATTCGCTCCCCTCAAAAATTCAAAAACTCGTAAAAATATGCCCCCTCAAAAGTTTTGATGAAACCCCTGTACACATGAAACGGTTTTTACAGCTAATGGAAAAATTGTTTTTTGCAACTATTGTTCAAAACAAGTTGAAAGTAAAAAAAATCACAGATTTATTAGCACGCCAATACAGAAGAGCTCTATTGTAATTCGCTTTGCTTTTAAGTCTGTAACGTAATCAGTGAATCCTTTATTTTCAAATTACGTAATTTGTATCTATAGAGATAAAAAAAGGTGGAAGGGCTGGCAAAGATAATCGAAAAGAACTGTTATTAATGAAATATTTGTATTTCGTTGAAAAAAATCATCAGCTTATTCAAGTATTTTGAATAATTTTGGCTCTTTGAAATCAAAACATTATGCACTTAGTGTGACTAATTTTGACATGTAACAGTTTAATCTTATTTTGATACACTCAATGAGTTTTTGCATCAATAGATATAATGGCAATTTAGAAATATGTTTTCAAAAGTTAGGCTTTATCAACAGTGGATTAAACTGATGAAATTTACGTTTGTACTATGAACTCCCTCAACCTTCACAAGGAATGCGTTCTACTTTTCGCTCGTGAAAGTAAAATTTACTAATGTTAAATTTATTATTTAAATAATTTATAGATTTCAGAGCAGTAATTAAATCTGAACAACAGAAGTTTATCGCTAAAACTCCAAATTGTAATTATAATTATTAAATTATAATGTGTTAATAATGGAACTTATTTTTTAATTGGAATATTTTTAGATATTTTCACAAAGTGTCTGACTAATGATGCATTCGTTCCAAGACTTAAATACAACCTATTTTTTTTTTTTTTTTGTAGTGAGAAACACAACTTGGATGAGCGCATGAATTGGACATTTATTTTGGATAGAATGGTTTTGTAATTTTCGATTTGTCTTTATTTAATCCAATTAACTCACGGAGGGCGGTTAGTTTACTTGACATTACATTGATGTATTAATATCTACAAATGAAATAGGAATTAAAACAAATTAATAAAATAAAAGCATTACAAATATTGGTTGATATTTTATTTCGCATTAAATGAAATATAATTAGCCGAAAATCGGTTTCAATGTAAAAATAAACAGCTGTTTTACTTTATTTTCTAGAAGTTCCAAAACCTGGTTGAGTTGATTGGAACCACAGTTAATGGAATACTGTTTACAAAAATAATATTAGTGGGATCTTGAGTTTGAAGAGTCTTATTACACTTTAAACACAATACAGTAAATTTTAGTTTACCAGTTACAAATACAAGTGTAATTTGCTTAAATCTCTCTCCAAATATCCTAGTATGATCACATATCACTGAAAAGAGCATGAATTTTTCTATCAGATCATGAAATAATATTTGTGGAATTTTGAGTAAAAAGGAATATATTATAATGTAAATCAAATAAGTTTTTGCGTTATGCAGAAATGGTGTGATAATCGATATTGAAAAATATCTGTAGCAAAAATATCTATGAATATCCCCTAATACAACCATATATTAGTGAAAAAGGGATAAAATTCTCTATCAAATGAAACAATAATATTAGTGGGATTTTGAGTTTGAAGAGTTATTTTACAATTGAAACCTAATAGATGTTTTTTTTTTTTTTTTGTTTATTTAATGAAATTTACAACTGTATACATATACAACAAGTAAATATGCGCAAATATAAATAATGGCATGTACAGGCTTGAAGAGTTACTACCCAGTGGTAGCACTCTCTAAATAATTTTAAGTAAGAAGATCACGAGGCCATCTCCTTTTCAGACGCCTAGGAAGATTATCAGGAATCGAGAAAGAAGCAAGACTGGAAACAAGCGGATTTGGATGGGACTGAAGTTTATCATGAAAGGATAGATATCTGGCTCGAGCTAAATCAGCGACATATGGTACATTAAGGTCTTTATGAATGGTTTTATTTGTGACAAAGTATGGAGCATTAAGGATTTTACGGAGGATTTTGGATTGTAAGGATTGGATACGATAGGAATTCGATGGTTTGGTGGAGCCCCAAAGCTCAACTCCGTATGTCCATATAGGTCTTATTATAGTTATGTAGATAAGTCTTTGTAATTAATAGAAAGTTTAGAGCGTTTGTATAGTAAGTGTTGGAGCAGTCGGAAACATCGAGCAGTTTCTTGTCGTTTCAGTCTAGTATGAGGATTCCAAGTAAGACGTTTATCCAAATGGAGTCCTAAGTAGCGGATTTGCTCAACAGGAATAAGTGGAGTATTATTGAAAGTTACTGTAGGACAAGACGTCATAGGTTTACGACGGAGGGTAAAGGTGATTTGATGGGATTTGTTGGAATTTATTTTTATTCTCCAATTTTTACACCATTCTTCAAGGCTTGTGATATGTGATTGAAGAGTTTGGGATGCAATTAAAGGATCGTTATTAACAGATAGCAAACATGTGTCATCGGCGTAAGTGGTGATGACAGTGTCAGGATGGGTTGGGATGTCAGCTGTATAAACTGTGTAGAGGATGGGACCGAGGATACTACCTTGTGGAACGCCTGCAGATTGAGCAAAGAGGGATGAGAAGACATTATTTTGGTTTACTTTGAAGTATCTATCAGTAAGATAGGAGCGGATAATGAGGAAGTATGTAGGGGGTAGGACTTTTCGGAGTTTGTACAGAAGACCCGGGTACCAGACTCGATCAAACGCCTGTTCAACGTCGAGAAAGACTCCCGTGCAGTACATACCGCGCTCCAATGCAGAGGAGACTACATCAACCACACGATGACATTGTTGGATAGTGGAATGCGATGTGCGGAATCCAAATTGGTGATCAGGGATAATATGATTAGAGTCTAGGATGGGATACAGGCGTTTTAGGATGAGTTTTTCCAGGATTTTGCCCATGATAGGTAACAGAGAAATAGGACGGTAAGAGGATGGGTGTTCGGGTGGTTTTTTAGGTTTGTGTATCATTTTGACAATAGATATTTTCCAAGAATCAGGGAAATATGTGGATCGGAGCACAGCATTGTATATGTAAGTGAGGAATAGAATGGCTTTCCGAGGAAGAAGTTTTAGGATCTGGGAAGTGATAAGGTCATGTCCAGGAGCTTTTCGGGAAGGTAATCTGTTGATGATATTAGATATTTCCGAAGGATGAAATGCTTTAGGTGGAAGAGTCATTTGGAGTGGAATATCCAGTTCTGCTTCAATACATTCAATTTGATGTGGATTAAGGATATCAGGATGTGGATTAAAGGTTTGGAAGAGGTATTGACCGAATAGTTGAGACTTTTCATCATCGGATTTGGACCAGGTTTGGGATTCAGTTAATAGTGGATGGTTAAAGTCTTTAAACTTCAGTATCTTTTTTGTGGTCGTCCATAGAGATTTGTCAGTAGTTGTAAGATTATCAGTTAGGTTAAGTAATTTTTGTGTTTTGAATTTTCTAATTTCTATTTTTAGTTTGTTAGTCAATTCGTTATAGTAAGTTTTATCTGAAGGATATCTAGTCCTATGCCATTTCGATCTTGCTCTGCGTTTTTCTCTTAATAAGATTCGAATATTTAATGGCAAGTTACTATATCGTGAGTTATTGCTTTTATTGATGGAAGTGTTATCATTTATACTAATAGCTATTGATGTAGTGAGTTTTTCTATGGATTTGTCAATGTCTTGTTTTGTCTTAAGCAAAACCTAATAGATTAAAATTTAATTTGTCAGTTGCATGATTATAGCAATTTTTACTTACATAAATTGCTAAAATCTCTCTCTGAATACAACCATATATTACTTAAACAACATGCAATACTCTTCCAAATAATAAAATGACATTGGAGAGGGCCATTGAGTTTAATGAGATTTGTTATAATATTAATAAAAAAAGATGTCTGCTTATTGCGGTGTCGGTATGGTCAATGAAATAATGTTTGTAATTATTAAATTGGAGAGTGAATGACTCCTTAAGTGTTTAAGGTAGGAAGAAGGTAAGGAGGTAGAATTCAAAACTATAGAGGTCAAAATATATTAAAATTAGGTACTGGAGTGATTTTCACCAATAATCACATCAAGTGATAAGTATTAATTACTATTCTAATTTCACTAATATACAGTTGTATTGGGGTATTTGGAGAGAGATTCTAGCTAGAGGTAGTTTTAAATATTTTTACCACTATTTTGAAAATTTATATTTATGATTTTATTTATACATGAAGAAAAATTATAATGCTAAAAGTTTTTATATGAGCAGATTCTGTATTAAATTTATGACAAATTAATACATTTTGAAAGCTCTACATCAATGAATATTGGTTTTACAAATGAAAACCAAACAGGTACATGCTGGTTTTGAGTCCAAAATGTCTTCCCAACTTCAAATAGTTCAAAAGTTTAAAAGCCTATAATTCTGAAAGTAACCGTTTGAATTGACTAAAAATTGGTATTTTACTTACATGTATATTTACTTAATATATATTTAGTATATTATTATAATTTTATTTAAAAATTTTCATTAATATCTGAGAGAGGTGGGTTTTTTTCAATATTCTTTTGTATTTTACTTTTTTCCAATATCATACACAATCTCAAAAGTAATTTTCATCATACATTATTTTTAACAATTAAATATGGAAGACATACTCACCACTATTCATAGATATATTAGGTTTACCTGTAAGGACTTTTATTATTTCAGTTGCTAAGCTTGAGTTTTTTATCTTCAATACTTTTTTCAATGGCTCTTTATAGTGTAGAATAGACTTGTTCAGCTTAGAAATGGAATTGTGCTCATCTATAAAAAATAAATAAATAAATCATACATATTTAATCCAAGAAAAGTTAATTGTCTAGGAGTCAGAGTGGAAAAAGTCAAATTAATAATATCAAGTTAAAACATCTTAAAGAGTTTTTTAGTGCAAAGTCCTATAATTCTATAACTGAAATATATAACCAAGGTCCCAATATATGAAACTGAAATTATTAAATATTTATTAACATACATTTTTTTCTTTAGTAAATCTATTAAAAGTAATAGTGTAACCAAAAATCTACGATTGACCAACATAAATATGTTGATTTTGAGTGAATTAGATATAAATAATTTTGTACTCTGGATCATTAGATCTAAATGAATAACAGGCCAGTTAGTTATTTTTTAATTGTCCACATTCTGTTTTGAATGAATATTTGGACTTATCAAAATTCTGAATCAAGATTATCTAAATTTTAGACTGCAAAATTAATTTTTTAAAGAATTTATAATGAAATAGCTCATGGCATACTGATACAAGTTGGTGGAAGAGCTATTCACATTAATGCTTATTTATACTATCTTGTAGTTGAAAAAAATTCCAACTTCTAAATTTTACTGACATGTAGGTGATATTATTGAAAACTACTATAACAAAGTATAACAACTTAAGAAGGCCAGAGCATCAAATGCTAGATTTTGTTTGTCCTCCTAACCACATTTATTGTATAGAAAAAAATACCACCATTTGTATTTAAAGAAAAGCAGTTCAAAATATGCTTGTGAAAAGTTTTTGATTTTTATAAATAACTTAAGATACAGAAATAAAAATATGTTTAATAAACAGAGGAATAAAAAAAGAACAGGTTTTTAAGCTGAAGCTTGTTGATATTTCTAAGAAGAAAGCTAATATTGAACTGGGCACTACTGAATACTAATGTAATTGGAAAGTATTGTATAAAATGAATTCAGCATATCATAGGAAGTTTTGAGAATGATAAATTACATGGTAAGTAGAGAATGAGAATCTATGCTCTAGTGATGGTGCAACAAGTATAGAGAAGAACGTGGGAAAGGAGTGGCTTCCTTCAGAATCAGAAAACTCAGACCCATGATTTAGTTCCCAATTTTCCAAATTATATCCTCCTAAAAATGCAAGATAACTCAATACCATATCATCCGATATATTTATTGAGAAAATGATGCAGTTGTGTCAGGTTGGATGGTAATATATTTTCAAACAATATACTATTGAGATTGAGGATGTTAAGTAGAACGGGGAATGTTCAGTATGGAAAAAATATTCAATATTTGTGTAATAAATTGAAGAATGTTAAGAAAAAATAAAAGCTTGGAAGAAATATCTAACTTCAGTAGCAGAAGAGAAGAGGTAGTCATCACAAGAAAAAGAATTAGCTACATATAGCAACGCATTGAAAGAAAATTGGGAAACAATATTACAAGCTTATGCTTATTATCCTTATGGAAAAAAATAAACTTCTAAAAGAAAACAAACTTTTCAACAAAATATAAAATAAAAAAAAACAAGAAGTAAAAAAGAAAAGAAGAACTCTAATGAGCCAAGATGCTGAATATTCTAAAAAACAACATAACATAACCTATAATACATATCTATATATGAATATGTATGTATGAATATATATACAGTATGCACCCACCGAAGAAAAGGAGGATGAGGTGGAGGACGATTTCTACTATCAGTTAGAAAAAGTTGTGGACCAGGCACGAAAATATGACATAAAATTAGTCATGGGAGACTTCAATGCCAAGGATAGGTCGAGAACCCCAATTTATGCCCTTCATCGGAGGCCAAAGTTTCCACGAAACTAGCAATGACAATGGAGTTAGATGCATTGGTCTGGCAGCAGCTAAAGGTCTAGTAGTAAGCAGTACGATGTTCCTGCACAAGGACATACGTAAGTATACTTGGTTAAGTCCTAAAGGAGCAAAAAGCCAAATCAACCATGTTCTGATAGACAAGAGGCATCAAAGCTCCATACAAGACATGAGGGGTTATCGTGGAGCAGACTGCGATTCAGGCCATACTCCAGTTAGAATCAAACTCTGTCAGAGGCTGAAGCGAATCAATCGAATTGGGGACCAAGTGGAAAGAAAGAGGTACGAAGTCCGTAATTTGAAAAATCTATAGTACAAGCTGAATTTCAAGTTGGGCTGAAAAATAAATTCGAACCCTTGAACTCGGAAGGCCCCACGGTTGTCCAACACTGGGAGGGACTAGAGTCAGGGCTAAAACAAACAGCTAAGGACGTAATAGGGATTCAGGAAAAAAGAAAAGCCAAGAAATGTTTCATAGAAGCATGCGAAAAGGCAGTGGAGGAAAGAAGAAAAGTCCTCTGCTTACAAACTGATCAAGCGATGCTGGACAAATACACAGTCGCCAGGAAAAAGACAAACAAAATAATAACAGCCAAAAAAGAATTCCTCAAAGAAAGATTACAAACTATTGAGGAAAACTGGCAGGCTGGAAATATATGCGAATTCTTCGCAGATATCAGGAAAAAAGGGTAGGATATAAAGCGAGAAATACACAAATGCGAGGCAAAGATGGTAAATTGACGACATCAAAAGAAAAGATCCTAAGCATATGGAAGGAACACTTCCAGCAGCTGCTTAATTAAGGGCACCCCACAAACGAAGGAGACATGGACCACACTGAGGACATCGACCCACTTGAGGTTGAAAAGACAGATATTCTGGATGTGGAAATAGCTATCGGCAGGCTTAAAAGAAGAAAGGCTCCAGTGATAGACAACCTACCATCAGAATTGTTCAATGATGGGGGAGAAGGCCTAAGAGCCAAGCTATTAGATCTAATCCAGAAGATATGGGAGAAGGAACGGATACAAGAAACATGGAACAAGGGTTGATCTGTCCTATCTTTAAGAAGGGCTCCATGTATGAATGTGGAAATTACAGAGGCATAGAACTTCTTCCGGTTGCCTATAAAATAATGACTAATATTCTACTAAATCGGATATATCCATATTATGAAAACGTAATAGGCGACCATCAAACAGGATTTAGGAGAGGAAAGAGTATGCTAGATCAGATATTCATCCTAAAACAAGTACTCGGAAAACGATGGGAAGTAGATCAGGACGTACACACATTATTTGTCGACTTCAAAGCAGCCTATGACTCCGTGGGCAGAAACTGTCTCTGGAAGATCATGACTGAGCTGGGCGTTCCCGGGAAGTTAGTGAGGTTGACGAAGGCTTGTACAAATGATCCTAAATGTAGGGTACTAATACGAGGAGAAGTATCTGAATTCTATGAAGTTCGAACGGGTTTGAGGCAGGGAGATGGCCTCTCGCTGATGCTGTTCAACTTTTGCACTAGAGAACGTGATAAGAACAACATCACGAGAAGATGGAGGGGTGCACGTTGGAATGAAACATAAAATCCTAGCATATGCGGATGATATAGCTGTCCTCGGTAGTATCAAGAGGATATTGAGAGACTCACTCGAAGACTCTGTTACAAGAAGCAGAACAAATCGGACTACAAGTCAATGGAGATAAAACTAAATACATGATAGTTATCCGAAACATCCACCCTAATAACATGATCTGCGTGGACTCAAAGTCATTCCCGAAAGTAGACAGATTTAAATACCTCGGCTCCATAATAACTTCAATAAATGATCAACTAATAGAGATATACCAGCGTATAACAAGTGCGAACAGATCTTTCTTCTCCCTTTCAAGGCTACTGCAATCCAGAAAAATCTCCAGAAATCTAAAAATAAGGGTGTGCACTGCCGTGATTAAGTCGGTTCTGCTGTGCGGTTGTGAAACCTGGGCTCTAACTGGCACAATAGAAGCCAGAATTGAGAGATTCGAAAGAAAAGTTCTACGCAGGATAACAGGACCTATATGGGACCAGAACCTTGACACACGGAGGAGAAGAAACAATAAAGAACTGCTGAAAGAAACGGGTCAGTCAATATCGCATGACAAGAAGGCAAGGAGATTATACAACAATGAATGCCAGAGTAGTAGGCTAGAGACCACGTGGGAGGCCAAAAACCAGATGGATAGATAGGATAAACAAAGATACGGCTGAGCTTCATGCCGCAAACTGGAAAGCAGTAACCCAAGAAAGACAGAGGTGGAGAAGGCTGGTTCAGGCGGCAACAAGGTCTGTAGACCCAAAAAAAAAAAAAAAAAAAAAAAAAAAAAAAAAAAAAAAAAAATATATATATATATACATATGACCCTACCCCATGTACCCTACCCTATGTAGTCGTGATGTGGTTTCCTAGGATGACAGTAGCTTAGGACACAGAGGTTAGTTTCTTGGACAATCTGCTTTTGAAAAGAAATAAGCAACATACGTCTGTAAATAGGCTACATTGTACATCAAAAGATTGACATCACCTATAGAGCCAACCCCCCCAAAAAATAAAAATAAATATATATATACTAAAGATTTTAGCTTAAATTACAAAGTTTAAAAATAAATGTTAAAATATTATAATAATTTGGGTTATTGTGGTTCTACTAACATATAATATAATTCAATAATAAAAATATTTTATAAACAAAAACAAATGTAATAAAAATCAAACAACTTTTTACAAAATAAATTAAAACTTTATTACTACTTATTAACATTTGATAATAGAAAACAAAGAGGATAGATTGTTTTAATTTTTAATATCTGAGAATAGCAATAATTTTGTTCATACATTAGATAGTATTATTGAATACTTATAAATAAATTAAAGTTTAAAATAAGATTAAATTAAAAGATATTATTTTAATTCTTTGATACGTGTACAATTTGATCATCCACTCTTTCATGGTCTTTCACACTGTTTAGAAATAAAATAATGAGACAACTGTAGATCTTCAAAAAATGGAATTTTAACTAAAATATTATATAAAAACTTATTAGATCTGGATTTACTCACTGTCTAGATGAATTCCTGGTAGGATTTTCTTCTGTATTTTTGATTTTAACTTGTTTTTCTTTTTAAGTTTTTTGAATCGGTTTTTTGCTATAATAAAAAAAAGTAGTAAAATATATTTAAATAATTTTAATATTAGTATATAACATAATATAATATAATTCAATAGCTGTTCAAGACACAGAGGAAGAACTAAATGGGATAAAAGATGGGAGATATTCTGGTCCAGGAAATATTCTTATTGAGCTGATTAAGCATGGATGTGATATCCATTATAAGTTTGTATAAAGTATAAGGTATAAGTTTGTGACAAACTTAAACATTGCTTTGCCAATCTTATGACAGCGTGCATAAAAAACAGAAAAATGCCAGAAGAATGAACTGAAGACAATGTGACACATATTTTCAAAAAGGGGAATTCTAATTACAGAGGTATTTCAGTTACTGGCAGCATTAGCCTTTATGAGCATATAATAAGCTCTAGGTTACAAGAAAAATGTTCTGCTAAATCAGTTTCACACTCACCCAATTAATTGAAAACGTATAATGCCTGTAATAGCCAATCATTACACATGATTTTCATTGATCCTGACAGAACATAAAAGTAAGAAATTATTTTATGAAAACCATCAAAAGGCTTTATAATGTACTAGAGTGAGAGAACCCAAAAATGGACTTCACATTCCTATTAGTAAAGGACTGAAACAAGAATTTTCCTTATCTATTCTGTTGTCCAACATTTTTGTTAAAGAGATTTAAAAAACATAGAAGAAAAAAATATAAAATAGTATAGGAATGGTTATAGGTGATAATACCTTTATGTCCTACAATTCGCTGAAGACTAGGTGGTAGTAGCCAATGATGATGAAGGTACTAACTACGTAATAAGAAAGCTCCTGGAAGAATTAACACCATGGGGTTTGTAGGTAAACAAGAAAAAAACAAAGTACCTGACATTTATGGAAATGTAAGAGCTCTATCCTTGGAACATAAGGAATTAGCAAGAACCCAAGAATTTAAATATCTTGGGAAACGGATAACTAAATATGGAAGCTCCTACATGGGTATAATGGTTAAAATAATTCCGTAAATTCCATGTTGTGGAACAACCAGGTTATTCTCCAGATTTCTCTGCAGAAGATTGCCTAAACCGAAAGAATTAGCTAGGACTTTTAGGCAGGACAAGTGAGTGTATGTTGTAAAAATATCGGTAATAAAAAAAATGTGATGTCATAAAATACATAAGTATCTACTTAAAATTGAAATTAGAATAAAATTTGGTTTTAATCCATAATAAAAAAAATATTAAGTAGAATATAATTTATTTATTAATACCATAAAGTTGTGAGGTATTTTTTTGTATAGTTATGAATTGGCTTAATATAGGTTCTTGGCTTAATATAGTTGTAGGTTCTAATATAGGTTTAACTTACAGTTTTGATTCTTCAATGGGAATTTGAATTTTTTCCTTTCTTTCTTTTTCATTGATTCTAAAAAAACTTTATGAGGACCATTGAATTCATCTAATCTTGGTGTAACAGCATTATTAATTATAATAACTGAAATTTAAGAAGAGTTATATACCAGTTGAGGTTAATAAATATACTTAAAATATTTATTTAAAACCATACTACAAAACAAAATTATGTATCATTAATTCATTATTGTAAATTTTAACTCTATTAAAAAACTCAATTGAGAAGAAAATTTAAGGAGTTGGTCAGGGGTGCTGTCTAAATAATCAAACACATGATAAGTGGTGCTTATATTTAATTAGGGGTAGGTGAAAATGTAGGCAATCAACAAATATATTTCTTCTTATCTAGCAGCATGTCCCACAACCAAGACTTTCATCATCAGTTCCCTTCCTTACTTTAACTTAGTCATTTTTTTCTAACAGTCAAAACTCTAGGAGTAATCTTTGATCAAAATCTCTTCTGGAATAACCACATTTCCCCGATTACTCAAAAAACCATAACTGTCTTTAACAACAAATATGATACCCTGATTCTATTCTTCAAAAACTAGACAGCTCCTTGTAACCTCCTTTGGTTCCCCCCACTTTGATTACAGTTTCTTGATGTATGGAGGACTGGAGATGAGATTAAAGGGACTTATAAATTGTTTGGTAAGATTCATCTTTGGCATTCCCAGTCGTTCTCACGTTTCCTGCTGGTATACCGAGTTAAAGTGGCTCTATCCAACCTCACGAGGGTAATTCCTCCTTAATATTTTTCTTTTCCAAGTCTTCAGAACCAAAAATCCTCTCTACAATCTAGAACTCCTTACTCTACAGTCCTATGCCTCTCTCTAAACACTAGATCTCAACATATTGATCTATATATTCCCTCCCATAAAGCCAGTTCCTTCAGAAAATCCTTTGTCATTTGGGCTTCCTCATTTTAGAACTTCTTAGCTGTATCCATACATCAATCCTCTTCCACAGAGTTCTTTAAAGAACTCCTATTCCACCACCTACTTCATATACAAACTTCCACAACTCATTAAGAATGATTTGTTTCAATAATTATGATTGCTAATAACAGTAAATTAACAAGTATTGTTTTATATTTTTTCATGCCAGATTAACATACATATTTTTTTAACTTAGTAATTATTCTTAGGGGACTTAAGTCCCAAAATAATTTAAAAATTCCAGCCAACACTAAAAATAATTATTTATCTTAACATTTAATTATAGAAGACATGCTTTGAAATGCTACAGCAAAGAAATGGACAAATGTGAACGAATACCCATCTTTCAATGGTGATCTCAATGGCAGAGAGAGCAAATATATAGAAAAATGGTACAGAAATCTCAGAAAAGATGGTATAAAAACAACCAACAATAACAGAGAGAGGATCCTCAACTTTTGTCTGGCAAAGGCCATGATTATAGCTAATAGCATTTTCCCACACAAACGTATATGTCAATATACTAGAGTAGAGCAGGTGCTAAATGATAAATTCATCTTCAGATATTTCATTATTCCAACAAATGAAATTTAAAAAAATATTTAATTAACAAATATTAACTAATAATATTAACTAATAAATATTAACTAAAATTTAATTAATATTTAATTAAAAAATTAAAAATAATTAACATCAGGGTTATGAAGGAACCAGAAATTGGCAGTGACTACATGTTATTGAAATGCTTCACTTCTCCAATGACTGGCTTCCAGTGAAAGAAAGAAATTTTCTAAACACACCACGAAAGTGGATAAATATCTGGAGAAAATTACTTCATTGAGCACCTCAAGTACAACTGTCTCCCCTACTTCCTACAACATGATTCAATGTATATTATTTCTATTGAGAAAATATATACTTACATTTTTGGTAGTCATTTGTTGTGGTTATCATGGAATTTTTTTCAGGTATATGTAAAATATGTAATATTTTTGTTTTAAAGTTGTTGCCTCCTAAAAAAAAATATTCAAATTTAAGAGTTAAATAATTTTTCGTGATAATTTAATTAGATTAATTAGATTTAGATTAACATTGATTAGATTTTGATTATTTTCTGAAAGTATTTAAAAGTTTATACTTATTGCTCAGAAGATATTAGATTTATTATATGAAGACATTTAATTATAAAAATGTTTCATTCATAAACAAATTAAAAAAAAAATAATAACATGAAAAGTCCAAAGTATAACAGATTAAAAAAAAATACTAATGTTACAGCAGCCTTTGTGTGATGGGACAATAATAATTACTCAAATTCCAATGGTCGAATAAATAAAGTTATCTGAATGTCTTCTCATCGAGTAATTGAATTATTCGCCTGATCTAGCACATAGAAGTTACACCTTTCATAGAGGGTGGATTGAATCATCTATTTTAAAACAAACTGGCTAGCTCATTGAAGGTGTTATAGCAGGGGTGCCCAGCTTTTTTATATCATGTACCACAACCAAGCTTACCTAAGGTGCTATATCGAGTTCTGCGCATGCGCTTGATTTGAATACCCACATTTCACGTCGTGTCCCACAGTTTTACTATTTTTTAGTAGAATAAGTGCTCAGTTTTACTTTTTTTAAAAAAAACTAGTTAAGCAGACATCAAAACAACAACAATGGACTAACACCACAGTGAGTAGTGTTGTTATTTACTGTGTACTATTACAGACAGTGAATTTAGTGATTTAGCGTCTATAGGCTTAATCTCTATAGCCATAACAGCTGACGGCTCCCCTCTCCAGTTGTGGCTCTGCCACGTAACTGGCTGTTTCTCAGCCGGTGGTTCATCCATTGTAATAACACGCAGACGTAGTTTTATTTATTTTTTTTTTCCCTTTCTTTTTTTTTATATGCGATATTATCACCAAGTAATGTCAACTAAGAGGTCCCATTCAGTTGGCTCTACCCCACGTAATTCACCGCCTAAACAGAAAACACGTCGTAGTAAGCGATTAACACCCCCCGGAACTCCTCCAGCGAACACTCAAGAATCTGTGTCTCAACCACTGCCAAGTACGTCTTCACAAGAAATGGAATCTCCATTTTTTACACCTAATCCATACCAGGTGCTTGAAAATGACAGGGAAGAAATGGAAGATGCACCTATACCTCGAGAACCACGCCCACCTCCTATCTTTGTCAAAAATTTGAGAAATTTCCAGTTGTTGTGTACTCAACTTAATAAAATCTGCCCAGGTAGCTATACATGCCTAAACAGAATAAACGATACAAAAATAATACCGGCCACACCTGAAGCGTACCGAAAAATCGTAAAATATTTAACAGACACAAATGCGGACTTTCACACATACCAGTTGAAACAAGAAAGAGCACTACGAGTTGTAATAAGAAATTTACACTCCTCAACCCCAATAGAAGTGATTAAAGAAGAGTTAACGGCGTTAGGGTTCAAAATACGTCAGATAACCAATGTTTTAAAAGAAAATAAAGAACAACCAGGTGTAAAGAATAAAATCCCATTGCCCTTATTTTTCGTCGATCTAGAGCCATCGCCTGGGATCGAAAAAATATACGATGTGCATAGAATTTTCTACACCAGCGTAAAGGTCGAAAAACCGTACCCAAAAAGAGAGTTCATCCAGTGCCATAATTGCCAAGCATATGGCCACACCAAGTCTTATTGCCACCACTTACCACGCTGCGTGAAATGTGGTAAAACACACAAGTCTGGCGAGTGTAATAAACCAATTACAGAACCAGCAGTCTGTGCCCTATGCCTGGAAGGCCATCCAGCCAACTACAAAGGCTGCCAACTTTATAAAAATCTCAAAGCGAGATATATGAAACCCAGGGACCCTGATGATACACCTAAACCAAGAAGAGGACCCGCTAAAATTGTGAACTCTAAGGTTTCTTTTGCCAAGCTACTTGGGGGTAGAGACCCGACTAATGTATGTGAGGCCCTGCCGCAAGAACAAACTCAACCCCAATCTCAATATCCTATCCCACCTAATGTACCTAATCAACAACAACCTCACCAACATCAAATCCAATATGTTCCTCCACCGCCTAATGCTACAGATCTAACCAGCTTATTGACATCCTTTCTTTCAGAATTTAAATCCCTTGTTACCCCACTGATATCACTTCTCACTAACCTAGTATCTCACCTTATCCCTCCTTTAAAAAATCCTTAAATGACTTCCATCAAACCCATACCCATTCTCCTTTGGAATGCGAATGGTGTTAGAAATCACATACACGAACTAACAGCCTTACTACAAGACAAGAACGTAGACGTAGCCCTAATAACGGAAACTCGACTGACTAAAAAACAGCTCCTAAAAATACCACAATACATAACTTACCGTACCGACCATCCTGACGGTAGAGCACATGCCGGTACTGCAGTCATTGTGCACCAATCCCTCTCCCATCACCTACTCCCACTGCCTACACACGATTTCCTACAATCCACCGCAGTCGTAATCAAAACCTTCTCCTTTCCTATTACCGTTGCATCAGCGTATTGCCCTCCAAACCAATCCATCTCCAATATCCAATTTAGTTCCTTCCTCATTTCCTTAGGACATCATTTCATCTTGGGTGCAGACTTAAACGCCAAGCATCAACAATGGGGTTCAAGAACCACGAATTCTCGTGGTCGAACATTGCTGTCTGTACTCAATTCCCAAAATTTTACCCTTCTTCCACCCAACTCACCTACCTACTGGCCCACTGATCCTAACCGTAATACCGATATCCTCGATTTCTTTATCCATAATGGTTTAGGTGCTCTCAACCATTCCGTTGCCCGTCTTGACGAGCTTTCCTCAGACCACAGCCCATTAATACTCCAAGTATCACTAGCTCCTATTCCTAAACCCTCTCCTCCGTCCTTCATCAGAGGCCCAGTTAACTGGAAACTCTTTCATCAAATCCTATCCGATAAAATTGACCTCAGAGTAACCCTGAAAACCTCTGAAGACCTGGACAATGCAGTACATTCCTTCACTACCAAAATTCAAGAAGCAGTCTGGACTGCTTCCTCCCCTGATCACTCCTCAAAAATCCTTAAGGAACATAATTTACCTCAACACCTCCTTGACCTAATCCACATAAAACGCCGTGCCAGATTATTATGGCAACGTACCAGACATCCAGCCGACCGCCACTCCTACAATTATCACTGTAAAAAATTAAAAAAAGAATTAGCCACCTTCAGATCCCAATCATTCAATTCCTACCTCACCACACTCTCTGCTCATGATAATTCCCTTTGGAATATCACCAGAAAAATCCTCAAATCCCATCATATTTCCCACCCTCTTCGACGAGATGATGGCTCCTGGGCAGCATCTGATGAAGATAAAGCCGAGGAATTTGCCAAACACCTTTCCTATACTTTCGCTCCTCATCCAGAATCCCATCCCAGCCACACAGTAAAAGTAGAAGAATCCCTCTCAATACCTATCCCACTCTCCTTACCACCTAAAGCTGTTAATCCCTCTGAGGTCAAATACCTTTTACGGAAAATCACACCTCGCAAATCTCCTGGATATGACCTTCTAACCCCACAGATCCTTCGACAACTTCCATCTAAAGCCATCACATTTCTTACATATATATACAATTGCATCCTACGAACTACCCACTTCCCTCTTTTATGGAAACATTCCACCATCGTCCTCTTCTTGAAACCAGGCAAACCTTCCAACAATACAGCATCCTATAGACCAATTAGCCTACTCCCAATCCTCTCAAAAATTTTTGAAAAGATCCTACTGAAACGAATCCTACCTATAATTGAATCCTATAACCTTCCTACTCATCAATTCGGATTTCGTTCCCAACATTCCACTGTCCAGCAAGGACTCCGAGTTGTTGACCATATATCCTCAACCCTAGAAAGCAAGCAGTATTGCTCGGGTGCATTTCTGGACATAGCGCAAGCTTTTGACCGGGTATGGCACGCCGGATTACTCTTCAAGCTTAAAATCCATCTACCACAGTCCTTATACCTAGTACTCCGATCCTATCTTTCCGACCGCTCCTTCCGAGTTCGCTGTGGCACCGAATTCTCCGACTGTTACTCAATTGAGGCTGGCGTTCCTCAAGGCAGCGTCTTGGGCCCCATCCTTTACATTCTCTTTACCGCTGATATTCCTGTCCATCCCGATACCCTCCTGGCAACTTTCGCTGATGACACTGCTATCCTTTCTTCCAACTCAGATCCTGAAACAGCGTCCGCAAACTTACAAAGGCACCTCTTCCTGATTGAACACTGGTGTAAGAAATGGCGCATTAAGGTAAACGAATCTAAATGTAAACACATTACCTTCACCCTTCGGCGTAATACCTGCCCACCAGTTTATTTTAACTCCATCCAGCTTCCTTTCTCAGATACAGTCCGGTATCTTGGCTTTCTCTTAGACAGACGACTAACATGGAATCCACATACTCGACTTAAAAGACAGGAACTTAACAGACGATATGGCCAGCTATATAGACTACTGAATAGAAAATCTAAACTTTCTGGTGAAAACAAATTACTGATCTACAAGACAATACTGAAACCCATCTGGACTTACGGACTAGAACTATGGGGAACAGCCAAATTTTCTAACATCAAACGCATTCAATCCTTTCAGTCTAAAGTCCTCCGTACAATAGTCAATGCTCCCTTCTATGTAACCAATAAAACCCTACATCATGACCTTAATATCCCATTTATTCTTGATCTTATCCCAGCCAAATTTTCCAAATTTCACCAGAACCTTTCTCATCACCCAAATCCCGTTGTACAATCCCTATCAAGCACCACCCATCCCTACAATCCCCTTCGTAGGTTAAAGCGGCAGTGGCCACGAGACCTTTTGTAAATATGGATATTTTGGAGTTCTAGCAATGGCCAGATTCTCCACTCAAGTCATGAGTGTCTGTGGCTGTAGCGCTCTTACTCATCCTCCGCTGGTTTAAAATACCAGTGAAGTGGCTGAGGGAGAAGCGTAGGGATCTCCTAGGCCTCCCTTTTCCCTCCACATGTGGAGGGGACAGGATTGGTTCGGAGATCACCTGGCAAATTGTAAATAATGTATGTTTTATATAAGGTGTTTGTTTTACTTTTATTTCTATTTTTATTTACTTATGTGTATATATATTATTTTTTTTCTTTACTCTTTTGTTCTTTCTTCTTATTCTTTTGTTATTACTATATTTATTTATATTTTTGTATATACGGTATGAATGCAATCTCTGAACTCTATTATAAGTGTCCTTAACTGTGACAAATTGTAATATTTCTGAATAAAGTGTTTTTTAATAAGAAGGTGCTATATCTTTATCCCCCCACTGTATATATAATGAAGAAAGTTTTTAATTGTTTTAATGATACAATGTCATGGGCCTTTTGCAAAAATCATTTAGTAACAATTCTGAAAATTAAACCACTAAGAACTTTATGAATTTTCTCTCTGTGAAATCGGAACATTGTGCACTTTGTGTAACTATTTCAAATACTACATAAAAGGCTTTGCATTATTTTTATGTAATTTTGTCTGTTAACATCAATAAATAAGGTTAAAATATACAAAAATATACTTAGAAGTTTAGCTTCTTCAAAAATGTATTTTCTGACTTTTTTTTTTAAACAACAATATATGTACTGGGATTTTGTAATTTTGTACTCAAATCAAATATGTAGATTTTAAAGTTCCCTTTTATCAGGAAACGAGGACTTGAATTTCATTTTTTTTTTTAATAACAAAATTCAGAGAACAATTGAGATCAGTATTTTTTTTACGGAAGTTACTTTTTTTTTTATCATGGTAGTTACATGAATCTGCAGTAATATATTTAAATTTGCCTGCCATCCAGCTCCTCACTCCCAACATGGACCTGGCATCACCAGCCATAGCGTCACTCCACCGAAGCCGAGGTCTTCCTGTAAGCCTTGTTCCGTGTATTACTTCTGTTATGGTTTTTTTTCGGAATGTCATTCAAAGCTACATGACCAACGTGCCCAGCCCATCTCAATCTACCGAGCTTCATGAAATGAACCACTTCTGGTTCTTTAAACAAATCTTTGAGCTCCTGGTTTATTCAGCGTCTCCATAACTGGTCAACTTTCACAGTTCAAAGATTTTACACAAAATCTTCCTCTCAAAGACCATTAGATTCTGCTAGTCAGTTTGGAAGATAGTCCATGTTTCTGAGTCATAAAGAACTATCGGTCGAATAATTGTTTTATACAATAGGACTTTTGTTCCTCTGGTTAAAGCACGGCTCCTAAAATATGAACTGAGGCCATAACAACGATTGGCACATAGCACTCTTTACTTAATTTCAGAATCCACATTATCATGAGTTATGAGGGATCCGAGATAAATAAATTCTGGCACTTTTTTCATAGGAAATTCTCCGATGGTAATGCTTTCGACCGGTTTGGGATTTTCCTCAGTGACCAAATATTTAGTTTTTGCAGCCTTGGCTTTAATGCAAATTTTTCTTGCTGCTTCCACTAGTTTCAAGAATGCACTAGAGACTGCCTGGAAAGAGCATTCAGCAATGTCGATATCATCTGCATAAGCAAAAAGTTGCACTGTCCAGCTGAATACTGTTCCGCCCACTTGAATACCAAAATCTCTAATGGACTTCTCTAAAACTAAATCAAAAAGGAGACATGCCGGCACATCTTCCTACCTTAGTCCTTTTCCAGAACTGAATTCTGCAGATCTTGCTCCTCCAACTTGCACCATACATCTCACTTCTCCCATGGTGATTCTTACCATTCTAAGATTTTCAGGGATTCCGAGCTCTCTCATTGCCTCATAAAGTTGTTCCCAATAAACATTATCATATGCTTCTTTAAAATCAACAAAAAGATGATGTGTTTTAAGCTTATATTCACATCCTTTTTCAAACATGATGCGCAAGCAAAATATTTGGTCAATGGTAGATAACCCTATCTGAAAACCACACTGGTACAGGCATAAGATGGAATGAGTACTATAGCTAATTTATTTTTTATATATATTTTTTTTATTCAGCTTGATAAAAAACTTTAAACTAGAGTTTAAAACAATAAGCAGCACATTGGACTCTGTGCCAAGAACAGAAAAAATTAGAATCTTTGCCTACCGAAGGACTAAGCAGCCATATCATTTCCACCATGTCTTGTCCAGTTTATTTTTAAATTATTAGTTTAAAACAACTGCCTGCTAACCCTTCATTAACTGTCCCTCGTATTTGATTCAATTCTGTCCACAAGTGTCTTTGTGTACAACCTCTCCTATTTAAACTATTCTCTCTTTATAGGAATTTAATTTGAATATATATTTTAGTTGGGCTAGGTTCAATACATAACAGTAACTTATTTCACATATTTAATTTTTATGTTATAAACACTGAGTCTTGTTTAAATTTCAACAAATTAATAAATTAGCTTCTGTAAATGCAATTTGGAGCTCCTTCCTATGTACAAAAAATTGTAGTTTTGGCTTAAAACTAGCTTTGGAATTACTTACTGTTTGTATCAATCCCCTTTCCACTTTTATTCTGCTTATTTGATTTATGGTTTTTATTTTTGTCTATTTTTAAAGAGGAACTGAGTTTTCCTAAAAATTTGATTTTATTTGATTCGTTAATTTTCAAAGAATTACCATTCTTCATCAAAATAACTGAAATTAAAAAAAAAAAATTAGCTTATTTATGATTATGTTAATTTAGAATTTTTTTTTAAATGTTATTTAAATAAAAGTTATTTATTTAATGATTTTTTTTTCATTGTAGATTCTTCACATATAATTGAACTTAAAATAAGTTTGAAATTTGAAAATTATTGCACAATATTATATATATATATATATATATATATATATATATATATATATATATATATATATAATGAAGAGAACAATAGTTGGGGTGGTCAGTCAAAAAAGAAGGCAAAAATAAATGATAATATTTATTTTTACATATGCCGACGTTTCGACCTGAAGTTAAGGTCATCTTCAGGGCTAAGAAAAGAACCAGATAACAAGGTATGAGAAACATAAAAATTACAGTAAAATGAAGTTGTTAGAATAATGACAATAGTAAGAGTAAGAACAAGAGTCAAATAATAATAACAGGTACAAAGTGTGGAATGATGAAGTAAACATAGTCAAAAAAGGTGACATAAGTATTGTAAAGGGAATCTTAGAACAAAATGTAAAACAGAAAAATATGAAATTATATAAGAAATGGAAATAAATAGTAAAATTAAGATATAGTGAATAGAATATTTAGATAGAAAATTGAGATGTTATAAAGTCTATCAATATGTACAGACAAAGTATGAAATAATAAAGAGTTAAAAGAGCGAAAAGGAATGAAAGGAAGGAGGAGAGAAACTGAGAAGGTTGAAATAAGAAAGAGAATAAGTAAGAGAAATATGAAGTTATATAAGAAATGGAAATAAATAGTAAAATTAAGATATAGTGAATAGAATATTTAGATAGAAAATTGAGATGTTGTAAAGTCTATCAATATGTTTTTCATTCAAATCTCACAACACACTCTCTAAATTATACACATCCTTAAAAGATCCTGTTCCTCTCTCACATCGTTTACCGTATTCCATGTTCTACCCCAATTGTTTTTCATCCTATATTGGTGAAACTAAAAATCTTCTAAAAGACCGCATCACCCAACATAAATACTCTGTATCCTCTCGTAATTCAACCGCCTCCAAATTATCCGAACATTCTCTCTCCCTCAATCATACATTTGATTTCGACAAAACATCCATCCTTGCCACAGTTCTTAACCATGATAAACGACTCATTTCTGAAAACCTCCACATCCAGCTTCAACCGAAGACAGTAAATTTAAAAATGGACAAACAGAACTTATCTTTAGCCTATTCCCAAATTCTGAATTTATTAAAACATCCATAGTTATCCTATCTTTTTCGCTGACAACTTTATCTATCTATCTATCTATATATATATATATATATATATATATATATATATATATATATATATATATATATATATATATATATATATATATGTATATACATATAAATATAGAGAGAAGGTGATAGCGGCCAAGAGAGAAGGTGACATGCTGTCAAGAGAGTAGGTGCTAGCCAGCAAGCTGAGAAAATAGAAAAAGGAGTCCTAGCCGGAACATTCAGGGATAGAGCCACAAAGTTTAGACTGGGACAATCAAGTTTTTTGAAAACAATAATAAATTTTATATGTATAATTAGTGTATTTAGTAATTAGTAAATTATAGTTATTTAATGTTGAATGAGTGTTCAGTTGACAGAACCCAACCTGAGAATTTATGTTATGTGTTAAAATAAATAGTATATTGAAAAAGGAAACTCGTTGTTTGATTTTGGTGGGAAAGAGGAACGTTACAACATGGCGCCCAACTAGCGTGGCTTTTGAAAACGTACATAGTCACGACAACTGAACACGCAATCCTTGTTAATTTTAATTTTATTTCTTTTGTTAATAATTTTTGAGTAATATGGAAAATAAGCAGAGAGAGATAATAGAAGTTAGAGATCTTAATAATATAATTCTTAGAAAATCTAATGGGAATGTTGTTAATGTAGAAAATAAGGAAGAGTCAGTTGTACAAAGCCTACTTGATGAAAATAGACAGTGTGAAAACGGAAGTGAAAGTCTGTTGGGATTAAATGAAATAAATGAGTTTAGTGAAAATAATATGGAAGGTGAAAAAATAGATATAAGTAGTAGCAACAATTTGAATGGTACTGATATTAATAATATGTTTCAACAATTAATGGCTATGCTTCATAAGGTTAATATTCAATTTGATAATGTAAACAAAACATTAGAATCTAATAATAAACAGGAGATTTTGAAACAAGATTGTGATAACTTAGAAACCCAAATTATTGCAAATATAACTGAAGTCCAAGAAACTACACAGGCTGAAAAAACTTCTAATAATGAACAGGAAAATTTGGAACAAGATTGTGATAACTTAGAAACCCAAATTATTGCAAATATAACTGAAGTCCAAGAAACTACACTGGTTGAAAAAACTTCTAATAATGAACAGGAAATTTTGAAACAAGATTGTGATAACCTAGAAACCCCAATTATTGCAAATATAACTGAAGTTCAAGAAACTAAACTGGCTGAGAAAACTACTTTTGGTCACTCAGAAAGTGATGAGAAGCAAACTGTTACTGAAGAGCTTAGCAAAGTTAATTCTTCAATTGATATTGGATCAGAAAATCGCTTAAGAAAAGATAAAGAAACCCTTGATGAAAAATTAATGACAACAGAATTTCTAGTAGAAACTCATACAGTTAATCTTATAGATATCAAGAAAGAACTTCTCAAGTTTCAAATTGAGTTCAAAGGAGTAAAATCCATTTTACTCCTTTGAACTCATTATTATTTTAGTTCAGAAGTTCCTTTAATTCCAGAAAAGTTAACTCTACGATTTAAAGATGAGTTGGGAAATTTTGATGACTGGAGTAAGAAAAGAACAGGATTATATGAAGTGTTGTTCCATGGACTCTCTAAGTATAATTTTGATTGTAATGGATTACCAGTCATCCTACTTATTCTAGAATATGAGTTTTATGGGAGTTATATGATCCTGGATCATGTTAGGGCAGGTCGCTCATTATGTTATAGTGAGACACGGTAGTCTTTATCCTATCCAGAGGATAAAAAAGGGTTTTAAATTAGCGTCCCTTCCGTTGACGAGCTAGAGGGTCCTGGCGAAACCATCGTTAGGTTACTCAATCTGGATAATTTGTAAATATATTGTAAATAGTCTAATTGCATTGTTGGTAGATAGGATAATAGATTAATATGTAAAAGTTAAATAAGTTGTTTTGGCCGGATATTGCTAGGTAAAATCCAAATTTTAGAAGAGAGTTAAAAATTGTCTTAATTAATTAGTGTCTCCTCTCTGATTATTCCTATAATACAAGTTAAAATATATTTTTGAATGTTATATAAGTAATTTAAACAGTTATTTTGTAAGTTAATTATACATAAGATGTAGGAATTATAAGGTAAATTTATTTTAGTAAATAATGTATTCAGCTTATTTTATTATTTGTATATCAATCTACTTTTCCTGTACATAAATTAGATGAACAAGTTATGTAATTACTGTATGTAGATTAAGGTAATATAGTGTAAATAATTCAATATTTTGTATATAAAATTGTAAATGTTTGCTAACAAGGTTGGGAAATCTATTGTGAAAGGTGTGAATGTCAAAAGTTAAATTTATTATTTTATATGAAAAAAAAAATGTAAATATTTCACCGAATTTTAAATTTCCATTTTTATTTTTTTTAAACTACAACGGAGGAGAAATGTAATGTCAACATTACATGGCATTTGAATAGTGGCGCAAAAGTGGTTACAGCACGAACTACGGGGAGGAAGTGGGGGAAGCAAGCCTCATGTAACTCAGAATGTGATGGGCCGCCGAGAGAGAAGGTGATAGCGGCCAAGAGAGAAGGTGACAAGCTGTCAAGAGAGTAGGTGCTAGCCAGCAAGCTGAGAAAATAGAAAAAGGAGTCCTAGCCGGAACATTCAGAGATAGAGCCACAAAGTTTAGACTGGGACAATCAAGGTTTTTGAAAACAATAATAAATTTTATATGTATAATTAGTGTATTTAGTAATTAGTAAATTATAGTTATTTAATGTTGAATGAGTGTTCAGTTGTCAGAACACAACCTGAAATTTATGTTATATGTGTAAAATAAATAGTATATTGAAAAAAGAAACTCGTTGTTTGATTTTGGAGGGAAAGAGGAACGTTACAATATGTATATGTGCGTGTGTGTGTGTACATGTATGTATTTATGTGTGCATGTGTATGTATATATTTGTATGTATGTGTGTGTGTATGTATGTGTATGTATGTATGTGTATGTATGTATGTGTATGTGTGTGTATATATATATATATATATATATATATATATATATATATATATATATATATATATATATATATATATATGTTGGGGCCAGGGGTACTTCAAAATTGAAGTACAGATCTTTCCCCGGTGCGTTTCCTCAATGGTGGGAAAAATTCGAGTGAAATTAAATTTTGTTGGGAAAGAAGGAGAAAAAAAAATTAGTGAATAATGAGACCTGTAAAACATTAGAGAAAAAAACAAATGGATGCAAAGAAAATATAAAAAAATAGAAATATTCAATAAATCAAATAATGGAAAAATGAAAATCCCCTTTTGAATGTTTACAATTTATTGAGAAAGAAAAAGAGATATAAATTTATATACAATAGTTAAAAAAAATAAATAAAGAGTGGAATGAATTTCACTGAAATGAAAAAAACACAAAATATAAATCAGTGAACCTAAACCCAAAATTACAATTATTAATAAAGAAAAAAAGAAATCAATTTCTGAATTAAAAATAAAACGAGAGAGAAAATGATGGTCCAAAAGAATAAACTAGTCTAGCGAAGAAAAAAGTTAATTAATATTTAAATGTCTTGGTGAGAATAGAAAACACAAGCCAAGTTGGAGGTTCTGCTTCCAACCTGTTACCTTCCGATATCCCCAGCTGTTGAGTAATCGATGGTGGGGTGGCATCGATATGTATCGATTACTCAGCTGCGCCCAACAGCTGATCTTCGAAAATGGCGATGGTGATGTGAACTAGACGAGACCTGGAGCTTGGTGAATATGGTGGGGGTAGACTTCCACTACATGGGTCTAATGTCGACAAGCGCTATCTCCAGACTTCCGAAAAAAACAACAAGGCACTTATACTAGGCCGGTGGGGTTTGAGTTAACTGGAGCGGCTGGTGAGATGGTGAGAGAAATTGTCCACTACGTGGACCCAATAACGAAGGTCCACTCCAGACTTCCGAAAAAACAAATGGGCACTATACTAGGCCGGTGAGGTTTGAGTTAACTGGAGCAGCTGGTGGGAAGGTGAGATAAGTTGTCCATTACGTGGACCCAATAACGAAGGCCAGCTCCAGACTGACTTAAGACCGCATACCGACAGTCTTATGGCATCATTTGTGTCTTAATCCCTAAGACGTATTAGTGCTGGGCTGTTGTGTATACAACGCGATAACACATCGCAAACGAAGCCAAATATAAACTATAATATAAACTTTAATATATTTTAGGGAGAATATCCCCTGGCCTATTACAAAAAAATAATAAATATTCATTCCATTATTCACACTAAAAAGGGTTAATGGTGAGAAAAAATAATAATTAAAAAAAAATAAAGAAATGAGCGTATGCGGCGTTAACAATATATATATATATATATATATATATATATATATATATATATATATTTATATTTATATGATCTGTATTAATTTCAATTATTCTCCATTATTACTCAACAGTTATTTTCTTCGTTTTATTGCCTCTCCAGAATTTCTATCAACTATTTAAATGTATTGCAAATTTAGTTATAATTTATAAATTGTTTATTTATAATTTATTTATTATAAATTTATTTTATTTTAAACTATTTTATTGCTTCTTTCTATCAACTTTCGTTTTATTCCTTAATATTTATGAATAATATATCTCTCGTTCTTATTTACGCTTCCGATACGTTAGTTCAAACTTCGTCAGATAACCGTTGGAGATGACGCCACTATACATCCCTTCTATCCACCTCCCTCCTTCAATAACACGAGCATTGCATCTTTTACCTTAGAGCAGTCAGGTTGTTATCATTTCTCTTACTTATTCTCTTTCTTATTTCAACCTTCTCAGTTTCTCTCCTCCTTCCTTTCATTCCTTTTCTCTGTTTTAACTCTTTATTATTTCATACTTTGTCTGTACATATTGATAGACTTTACAACATCTCAATTTTCTATCTAAATATTCTATTCACTATATCTTAATTTTACTATTTATTTCCATTTCTTATATAACTTCATATTTTTCTGTTTTACATTTTATTCTAAGATTCCCTTTACAATACTTATGTCACCTTTTTGACTATGTTTACTTCATCATTCCACACTTTGTACCTGTTATTATTATTTGTCTCTTGTTCTTACTATTGTCATTATTCTAACAACTTCATTTTACTGTAATTTTTATGTTTCTCATACCTTGTTATCTGGTTCTTTTCTTAGCCCTGATGATGGCCTGAACTTCAGGTCGAAACGTCGGCATATGTAAAAATAAATATTATCATTTATTTTTGCCTTCTTTTTTGACTGACCACCCCAACTATTCTTCTCTTCATTATATATATATATATATATATATATATATATATATATATATATATATATATATATATATATATATATATATATATATATAAAACAAATATTTTAATATGGTAAATATTTTAGTTGGAAATTCGTTTGATAACAGTTACTGCTTTCATCTAGTTCATGGTTGATTTTATTCAGTTTTTATTCAAAGAAACTGTAATAATTTAAAATTTAAAAAAAAAATGAAGTTTTCTAGTTTTGTGTTTATTTCTCCTCACTAATTAATTAATAAAGTGGAATTATTAAAATCCAAAGCACTTCATTATTGAAAATGCTGTATTACTTACTGGTTGGTACGACCCCCACTCCACTTTTATTTTGAACATTTGGTACAAATTTCTTTCTATTTTTTCTGATTTTAAATTTTCTGTATGCATTCATTTCTGTAATATGAAATCCATGTTGAACCATAATCATAAAAAATATATATTTATAAAAAAATTATAGTATATTATGAAATATAAAACTATTCTTCTGTTTTTCTTTTTGCTTGGAAGTTATATGTTATTCTCTGTTTTTGGCAATAATAACTTCCAATTAAACAACAATTGATTTATTTGTTGAATTTACAAGTTTACATGTTTACGTTTCGTGAAATTTAGTCATATCTTCAGAACCACAATCCCATGTTTCTTTGTCGATTCATGGCTTAAGTCTTATGTGCTCCATTGTCAGCTTCTAAATTTATGTTATAACAAATTATAGCATGCCTGATGATTCTCTGGATATTATATATTATAATTTGTTATAACACGAATTTAGAACCTGACAATGGAGCACATTAGACTTAAGCCATGAATCAACAAAGGAACATAGGATTGTAGTTCTGAAGATGGGACTAAATTTCCCGAAACGTAAGCATGTAAACTTGTTAATACAACAAATAAATTAATTGTTGTTTAATTGGAAGTTATTATTGCCAGAAACAGAGCATAAAACTATTCATTTCAAATGGAAATGGGCAAGAAATTTAGTAAAGTAAATAAGGAGTGACATATACCCCCCTCCCCCCCAAACAGGATTGTATTTATAAACATCATAAAGATATAAGATATTTTCTGGAGGAGGGGAAGGTAGAAGGGGAAAGAGTAAGATAGTGGATGGGGAAAGATGTCGAATTCAGTACTTCTCCCTATCAATCACATATAGCAGTACGTCCTAGTTAATATAAGATTTGTGTAGTCGTGGACAATGTAACTCACTACTGTAAACAAGTGTGTGTCTATATTGAATCAAATTGTGAATAAAAGTTCAGATTTTTTACTTCAGACTTTCATGTAATTTTTGAATCTCAAAAGCAAGGAATCAGTAGTCTAAGGCAAGTTCTTTAACTTTCTCGCTAAGATATTCTGATTATACAACTCCATTCCACAAACTCATACTAGATCCATTTATTTTACCATTTGTTGTGGTTATTAATAAATGTTAGAATGGTCAAAGTGGTATGAGGGGGAAAGATAACAAATTTGGCATCTGCTCAGAAGAAGGCAAGAATGAACTGGTGCCAGTGCTGCAAGTGCCTCAATTCTGTGTAGCCATTCTGCAAAGTATGGATGGGACCACAAAGATGCCAGTTACAGGGCCTATAAATGTGACTTCTGCATTGAAATAAATTATACTTTTTCTATAATTTAATAACAGCGTGTGGTTCCTTTCACAGTTTTATATTTCTTGTTTAAGTGATATATCAATAAAGTTTGATAGAAGTTCTTGTTGAAGTAGTTTGTTATGACGTTAAAAGACCCTTGATCCTTTTGTCAACTTACCCCAGGTAGATAACAAAAGCAACAATTATTGAGAAAACTCATGTTTCATCAGTTTAAATATGAGAGAGATATTTAAAAATACTCGTGGCATTAGATAAGATATTGAAGAAGTTCTCATAAAAATTTCAGTTCCTCAATTCATTCACAGTGGCTAAGAAAAATTACAAAAACTCGTCATTTTACCCTGTCTACTTCTAATTATGAACTGGAATGAATTTATAATGAAGAATAGAAGCTAAACTTACGGTTTTTATCTTTCACTAGAAAGCTAAATGATCCTTTCTTGGCTTTTCCTTTTGATGAATCCAAAAAAAAGTTTTTGTAGGATTTATGTGTTTTAGTTCTGGGTGTTATCCTGCTGTTTATGATCATAA